CGACTCGATGACTGGTCTCCCGTCGTCGGTGCGGGGGGGGGGGGGGAATGAAAGAAGAGTATGCCCCTGTTTGCAGCTGAAGCTCGTGAGTAGACACCAAGCACATGAGATTCCAGCATTTCTAACACACCAGCATCAGGAGAACCCCCAGCTACCACTCAGCTTGCTGTTTCAGCCTGCAGCCCCTTCCGCACCTCCCTAGGAAGGTGCCAGCAAAATGGCTGTTGGATTTGGACTATTAAGACTCCCAGTGGTCAGCTGGAAGCTTGACCCAAATGGGTATGCTCGGCTGGCTCCTGTCTTTAGTGCAGGAACAAGATGCCCATCATGGCTACAGGGAGGGGAATAGCCAGTAACTCAGCAGAGACCAGATGCTACCCGTGAAATCCCAGAGACGCGATTTCTCCAAGAACAGCACCGCACAGCACCACTGGGACCCTCCACTGCTCACCTTCACCACAGCAGCCAACTCCTTCCATTGCTCCTGCCGAGGATCCACCCCGGTGGGGTTGTGAGCACAGGCATGCAAGAGGATGATGCTCTTCTCTGGAATTTTCTAAGGAAGATGTTACAGAGAATGAATGATCTACGATATCTAGGCACTCTCCTCAGCTGCTGAGATGAGGCTACTGACCCAGACACATGTGTAGCCACAAAGACGGTTCAGAAGGCCCTGCAATGCCAGAACCCTGGATGAGCAAGAATACAAGATGTCTCTTACTCCCGTGCATCTAACAAGGGAGGGGTCCAGCAACGCAGGGTCTTCAGCATTGATACAATGTCATCAGGCTCCCAATCACATTTGGGCTAAAGCAAAAAGCTCACGCACCTCCCCACACCAACTCCATGCATCCAGGCCTTAAAGACAACTCACAGAAATGTCATCCATGGCTCCAGAGAAGTCAAGGCTGCATGTCTTGGGGTCATAGTAGCGGTAAGCCTGAAGCTGCAGGCCAGCATCACGAAAAATGGGCGTGTGATTGCCCCAGGATGGTTTGGGCAGATACACATCACGACTAGACTTGAAGAACCGTTGCTGATCAAGAGAAAGAGAGCACGTTCAAGTAGATCGAACAGATTCAAGCAGTTAGAAAAATCTGAAACATCAGCTCCTGTCAAATGATTCCTTTCTTTCCCCCACTGGCCATAGACTCACCAAAAAATTGGCTCCAACTCGCAGAGATCCAGTCCCAGAAATACCCTGCACAGTGACGTACTGCAAGAGAAGACACAAATACATGATTCTGAGCAGACACAGCACAATACAGAAAATGGAACAGCTTCCTACATCAGCTTTGGAAGATGCACTCCTCAGCAACAGCTCCTTCAAATAGGGACATGGGACTGGAAGGGATCGGATGGATCAGTGAGTCCAATTTGCTACTCTGTCCTCATTAACCCAGAGCTTTGTCCTAGAAACATGTGGGTTCCCCCTCTCCTCCCAACCCTGACAGGATGAGCATATGCATCTCCTTAAACATCTCCCACAGCAGAGCTGAGTTCTGAGGCTGAGTCCACGCTGGTTAATATGCTAACTGGGCAGGGAGTTGGGATCCAGGCAAGGGCTGAACCCTCGCGAAGGCCTGGTTTCCCACAGCTTTCAGAGGTAGCAGTTATCCTTGGGTCTAGCCAGCCTGCAACTCAGAGACATGAGTACCCACACCAGTCTTTCCACTCCTCCTGGGCACCTACGTACAGACTGCGCAGCACTGCCCACCCGCATGGTTCCCAGCCCACTCCTTACCCGGCCACTCTTGAAAGCCTCACTGTTTTCACCCAAAGCCAGTTCTGCTGATGCCCTGGTGAAATCTGCCAGCCCTGCAATGGGCAAGTACTCCTTGTCCATCTTCTTAGATGCTATCTGGGCCTCTGCCTGGAAAGAAGGAGACACATTCAATATGGAAGGCATCACCAGTACACAGCTCGCTCTCTTCTCTTTGCACTTGCCACTCAAAGTGGGCAAAGGGTCTTGTCTGACAGGAGCTTCCCTTTGGATCAGGGCCTATCCAAAGCCAGCAACACTTCTCACTCTTACCATGAAGGCAAAGTTCCCAGCAACTACCAGAGCCCACACTGGTTGTTAACACAGTACAGCAGAGCTAGGTAACCAGGTGCTAGAGGAGAGCACTCATTAGCAGTTAACGCTGCTGCACAGGGACATGTGTTTCTTTGCTTAAGCTAGAATTGTCCTGCAGGAAGGAGAGACCCGATTGTTACTGAACAGCAACGATTGGCTCTATATAGGGAGACACATCCTAAAGCTAGGTAGGGTAACAAGCTCTTTGTAGGGCCTTGTTATGCTGGTAACGACATCAAACTAAGTGAAGCTTGTCAAAAAAAACATCCAGAAAACCCAGCCAATTTTGAAAGCAGCCTGCCTGAAAGCTGGCTCACCTGTCTCCTAAACATGGCTCCCCCTAGCCTTGCTCGTCTCAGTCCCAACCCACTAAGCTAGTTTTGATTTACCACTTTTTTCAAGTAGATCTAGCATCAGAAAACAATCCCAGTTCTTATCTAACACAGGATTAGACAATGGCAGCAAGAGCAGTGGACAACAAGCCATGCTAAGGAAAAACACACCCCAAGTGTGCTGGGAACCCTATTCCGGCTCCTAGAGGACAGAGTCTGGCAGCATTCAGATGCTAGCAGGAAGCTACTTCTGCGACACCACACAGGCTTCCAAGCTGTGACCCAGCTACAGTATGCTCTGACACAGGGAAAGCGAGGGATTGCAAGCAGAGGAACTGCTTTAAATCCCACGCTGACAAGAAACATGGACAAGATATCCTCCCTATGTCAAAGGGACCAGCCAGTCACCATACATGTCAGCTGCCAGCTATTTAACAGCTTATTTCTGTACTTACAGCCCTGAAAGGCTCCACGCAAAGTTACCCCACCTTCTCCATAATCCCCTCAAGAGCAGCATCCGCTTCCAGCTTCCCTGGCTAGTTTCAGACTGGCTTATGGAGAAACCGGTAAGAAAGGCTCAGCAGAATTTCTAATCCAATAAAGGGACAATGTCAGCTCTCTCCTCCCCATGTGGGCTGGCTCAAGGAACATCAGGCTATTCACAAGAAACACCTTTAAGTTCAGAGGACGGCTGAATTGGAGAGCTTGTGGAAGGCAACAACACATCAGATTTACTTGGATGGGAGCAAGACACATGTTCCCTATCCTTCTCCCTACTACTGGAACAGCCGGCTCAGCTGTCTTTCAGTAGCATTACTAGTACTGCTAATGGAGATATTCAGCAACACTGTCCTGCTCTATTAGAGGCAAAGCATGTTTTAAGGACCACCAGGGAAACCTTGTCTAGGATGCGGGGGCCTTCCTGCTCCTTGTCCTTCCCAGGATGCCTGGCACCTGGATCTGATCCTGCCCCGTGACCAGCAGCAGGCTCACCTTGCGAACGCAGTTCAGGACATACGGCTTCCCATTGTCATCCCGGTACGCCCCCACGCCCAGATTCATCTTCTTGGAGTTGGTGTCGCGCTTGAAAGCTTCCGTCACCCCCAGGATAGGGTCGGGGGGACCCATCTCCACGTGAGACCACCATGAGCTGAAGAGAAAAACAAGCTAAGGACTAGGTGCAGGAACTGAGCTCCTTATAGGCCTGGCAGCCAGCACCATTCACAACACCCTGGCTAACGGCTCAGCAGTAGCAGGCTCCCCAATACCCCAAGTGAGGTGCTGGTTCCTAAAGTGAGCAGCCCACGTTTTCCTCCTGCTCCATGCAAGCCAGGTCTAGGTCTGCAAAGAGTCCAAGTGAGCACGTTCCCCAGTTAACCCAGTAGCACATCAGTAGTAGTTTGACAAGGTGGGTGGGTTTGCCTGATGAATAATAGCTGGTGCGGTGCTGCTGGGTAACCTACCTGCCCTCCCGGGCAGCGGCACACCAACCAGGCACAACAACAAACACATTAGCTATTAAGCAACACCCTTCATGTGTGTACCAACAGGACATACACAGCTAGAGAGAAAACGTCAAGAGAAATTTTGCTTTTTAACTACTGGGAAAGGTACAAGCATTGCTAAGAGAATTATCCAGGGGGAAAATATCTCCCTTATGCTCCATTACCTGGCAGTGCATTTTAGACTGCAAAATGGGCAAAGAGCCTCAGTTCAATGTGGCTGAAAATAACTGGCTTCCTATAAATCATTAATGGGTAGAAATGGCCCTGTTTTCCTTATGTGCTGACACCATAAGGGCCCCCCGGAAATAGAAGCCTTATAAGCCTCTTACACTCTGATAACTTCCACCTCTCCAGGACTGGGTCATTCCTGCAGGATAGTTCTCCCTAAGGAACCTTGTCCAGATCCAGATAATTGTGTGAAACATGAATACAGAGCCTCTTCCGAACTCCCGAAAGGGCTCTTGGGCATGAAAACTAATCTGCTTTTTCAGCAACGTTGGTTGACCTAACAAAGATATCTCCCTACAAACTTTGGCTCCCTTGAGAGGGATGTTGTAGCTAAATGCTCATTTCCTGGAACATGCACAGGACGCTCTCTTCCATGCCAGGGTGACAAGTGACAAGCTCTGATTCGAAGGTCCGTTCCCTCGCAGTGAAGCCTCCCTGTGCCAGCAGGAGCTTTGCCCAAGTCCCGAGTCAGCGCTCCTCACTCCCTAGGAGCCGCTCTGCAAACCACCTGCCTCCATCCTGTTGGCAGGACTGCCACCCTGAAGACAGAGAAGCTTTCTTAATGTCAAGGACAGGCTAGTCCACGCTATAAAAAGAAACCCTGTTATTCTCTCTTTGGCCACAGTCTCTACCCAGTCCCATACTCGACCTCTGCAAGCTGTAGATGCTGCAAGAGAAGAGGGGTGGTAGCTTTTAACCTGCCCGACAGAGGCAGGCCCCTCTCGAACACAGGATTACTACAGAAGATGACTCAACCCAGCTCTGACTGTCCTGGCACCCAGCATCACACAGACACTCATCCAGACTCCCAAGCTCCACGGCGGGACACGGCACGTGGCACAGGGCAGATGTGGTTCATCTCCCTCGGGGGAGGATTCAGTCTCGAGAGCTAAAGGAGGAAAGGAGGAGGACAAAATGAATTTGCTTCTGCAGCTAACACCACCACAAATCAGCTTTACAGCCAGAGTTCTTCGGCCTGGGGAAGGCAGCCTCACGCGAAGATAACAGCCTTGCGTTATATGGGAACGGTATCCTGGGATCAGATTCTGCCGCAGGCAATGCAGGAGCCGTCAAGCCACCCCCCTGACCAGCCAGATCGCCTGTTGAACCCTGTGTGTACTCTGGTGTACCGAGAGACACACGGAACAGCAGAGCACTTCTGAAGACAGCATGGCCTAGTGGGTTAAGGCAGCAGAAGGCCCTAGTGCTCATGGGATCAGCAGAACTCATAAAGTCACTTTCCCCTGCCACTCAGGCACCACTCAGCTCTGTTTAGAGCCAGTATAGTCACTGTATATACCTGCTTTGCATGTATGTACATGTAGATTGCCTCTCATCTGAGCCCCAGACATCATTTGTCCTGTTCAAACTTAATTGCTCTCCTCATCATTATAGTATTCCTATGAAAAAGGCAGTGAACATGTGCAGGCAGAGACACCTCAGGCAGTTTAAAAATGGAAGATGCGTTTAGCATTTTCTAGATCGCTAACCAGAGAGGTAATTAAGATTCGTTAAGAACAGGATCAACTTAGAAAGGAGGATGAGTCAGTCACGCCACAGACACCTACCCTCTGGAGGGACACGGGCTGCAGCGAGCAGTGAGGGAGATGCTCAGGGAGCTGAGTCAACCCAGCCAGGACATGGACAAGGCCACTGAGGGGGCTGCCTGGGCAAAAACCTGCTGTGAGTTTAGGAAGCACGCAATGCTGCTTTGAGCAACTCTCTCCTACCTCCCTGGCAACGGAGGAGGCAGGGAGAGAAAAGAAATGCACTTTGCACGCGAGCATACCCCTCTACAGGAGTCGACCTGGTCTAAGATTATTTCGGTACCAAGGGCTGCAGTAGCCTCACCATCTATTTCAAAGAGCTGCTGCTTCTAAAATAGTGACGGTACCATCTTCCTACTGTGCTTTTCACTAAGCTGCTTACACTGTTTTAGATATTTAGGTCCCAGTCCTGCAAACACTTAAGCAGGTCACTGGGCTCTAACATGCTACTGCTGCAACAAACGCTGATCCTGCAGCGTTTCCCTAAGCTCCAGTACTCCTGAGAGTTAAGTGCTTTCATTCTGAGCTGCTGTTTCTATCAGCTTAAGACAGCAAAGGGTAGGTTTAGGGCTGATTTTCCTGTTCTTAGCCCAAGGGTTTTGGGGTGAAGGCTAAAGAAAGACTCCTCTGCTTTTTCCAGGGAGTTGAGTGGGCAATGAGATGAGAAAACAGTCCAGGCTGAGTTGTCCAAACACATCAGGATACACAGAGAGATCACCCATTGAAAGCTTTCTGTACAGGGGGTTAGGACAAGCAATCTAATAGGGATCCAAGGCTCCACATTGTAATATATAGCTACCCCGGGGTATCCTAAGCACCTGATTTTTTAATGTGGTGTCTCTGCATTGCACTGTATTTTATTTCAAGCCATTAAAAGAGTGCTGCTGTTAAATAAAGGTCAGAGTTATGAACTGCACGTCTTCTCTGCCTACACACGAGGGCTGGAGGTATTTCAGTGCACAGACCCAAAGGAAAACAAGTTTAAGCTGTGGTTGAACTACTGGAGGAACATCAAGTGTAAGCCAAAAACAGCATTTTCTTCAGCTTCTGGACTTGAACGTAGGTGGCCTGAGGCTGTATTTAGATGCTGAGCAGGCCTGTTGCTCAAGTAGTCTCTGTCCCCCCACCACCAACCAGTCTGTGAAAAGGTGATCAGACAATTGATGCAGCTGAAAAACAAGTTTTTGCCAGATTAATGATGTGACAGAGAAGACAGAGAGAGCAGAAATGCACGCACGCCAGCAACTGCCTAAGACAGCAGCACCCTTCGGAAATGCATGTGGCACTTGCAGGAGCAAGGCCAGGCTCATACAGCACATTTTCCTCGAGGTAGGCAAGTGTTTACAAGTCCGTTAGAGTTTTCCATTGTTAAAGATCCAACACACATGCTGAGGTACAGCCCTATAAGATCCTCAATTTCAAAACCTCTGCCAAAGCTGGCTCCTACAGCAGTTCTGCAAGTTGGAGCAGAATGGACAGGCCAAAGGCGACTCTGTCCGTGATCTCACTGCTAAAGCAAATATTTATTCGAGAACAATGCCAATAGGCTGCTCCTGCTGCCACAGCCCTCTCAAGCCTGAAAAATTCATTGTCCCAGTCAGCTATGGTAAGTGTCCCACTAAGAAAAGCATTTGAAATTGTAGTCTCGCGATACATCGGGCGATAACCTTCAGTCTGCTCTTCCATCGTTAATTAGTAGTTGTGTGTCGAATGATCCACTTTAATCATTTCATATCTCTTTACCTCTGTCCTGATTTTGGAGAGACCATTTTCAGCACAGAGAAATCGTAACAGCTCTGAACGCTGCGTTAAGGTACTGGAGACAAGGACGTAGACAACCATCAGTCACTGCTTGGCATCTCCTATTACCTGACAACAAAACACTCTTCAAGCTTACTGCATAGGAACAACTGACCTTTGCAGAAAGAGCCTTTACTTACAAAAGTGATGGTCTGCATCTCTTCTATGAGACCTATGCTTGAATTGATAGCCTACAGTTTGCCGTACAGCAAACTTGAGAAAAGCAAAGCTATTGCCAGTAGGCTTACATACCTTCCACAGGCCCCCTATGGAAAAGGTGCAGGACCTAGGGGTCCAAGGGCAGAAAACACAGGGTCTAAATATCTGCTCCTCTACTTGCTGATAAGAGCCAGAACGCTGCCTCAGAAGCAGCATGGAGTAGGAACATTCAGCTCACAAGGCAGGCTGGGGCCATGCTGGACAAAAGAGGGTTAACAAATCCTATAACCCCTTTGCCGGGAAGAGGGGGGGGGGGGGGGAGAACTGCTCTGCAGCACTGACAAGGAAGTCCTCCCTAAAGCTACCCAAGGTCAGCTTCAAAGGGCTCTGGAAAGCAGCAAGGCCCTGCAGGTCTGGGCATACTTTGCATCTCAGCAACCAAGTGCTGCTCATGGTGGTGCCCCCAGCCAGTGTCCTATAGCTCTCAGATCAGCTATAGGGATCACTTGTACTTTGAGTACTGACACACCGGGCTCTTCAAAGGGCTGCAGCTGCACCCTGTGTCCTTAACTCCATCTCTTTGCTGGTAGAGTCCAGAGCCGGCAGTGCAAAAGTGAGTCCTGTGCAAACACCCTCATCCCCACCCCCTCCCCGTGGCTGGTGTTGCACACCTCAACACGTGGCTCTGGCACAGCACAGCACTTCAGATAGCAAAGCTCCCACCCCGCTGCACAGCACCCAGGATCTCCCTGGCCCCACTGCACGGTGCGCACCAGGCAGCAGCATCCCAGCTCCATTTCACAGAGCACAGGGTCCCCACTCCCCATTGCAGGTTGCACGCCAGGCAGCGGTGCCAGCACGGCCTCATTTCACAGTGCACAGAGTCCCTCCAGCCCCGTTGCACAGTGCATGCTGGGCAACATGCATGCCCCATTTCACCGTGCACGGGGTCCCTGCTCCCCAGTGCACACTGCATACCGGGCAAGAGCGGCCGGGCCCCACTGCACGCG